TCAGCAGCTCAACAATGTCGTCAAGGACCCAGCTTCTTTTTGCCTTTCCTCTCTACCGTACTCTGCATGTTGCCCATTGACCCTATGTGTGAAACCTCATGGTCACAAAATAGCTGCCAAAGTGCCAGGCATCAGGTTTTTTTCAAAGATGTTAGAATGGGGAAGGAGCAGTCACAAAAGGTTTTCTTTCTAAAGGGTCTGTTGTTTTTGGTTGGAAAGGGAAATCTCACAGCAGATTTACCATTGCTTTGTACTGGTCAAACCTGGGTCGCATGCCCATCCCAGCATGAGCCCTCCCCTAGGGCTGGGGAAGGAACGGCCTATCTCCCACAGGATCAAGAGATACCCACAGCCTCTTGAACACAAAATTGAGATTCTGGTAGAAGGAAGACAATAGTGGTGGGATGGGAGATAGTTGAGAGAAACCTTGACAGAGTTCTCATCAAGGCTGTTTTAGTTGCAAGGAATAGAAATTGTACTCAGATTAATTCAAATCAAGCAGTACAGCTTTAATAGAAGACTGGGAACAGTAGTTAATTTTCTGGGGACTATAAATGTGGGAAACGGAAGTGTAAGGAACAGCAGGAAGAGGGGAAGGTTGTGACAGAGTATGGGACATAGGGGGCAGCTACTACTCAGCTCCAGTTGATTTTGTTGTACCATAGAACCGCCTGATTTTCAAGACAAGAATCTGGATTCTTATGTGAAATCTCCAAATTTTAGTATGTTAGATCAATTTTTTTTTTAATTCTATTATGTTGGATTGTTTAAATTTTTAAATGTGTGGCTCCAATAAAATTCATCTGTAGGCCAGATTTGGTTGATGGGCGACCAGTTTGCAGCCTCTGAAAGGTTAGAAAGATGGCTGAAATAAATGGAACGGGGACCTGGAGAGCCACCAGGGCCTGAGGCAGCCCTCTCTCTGGGTCCGTGGCCCTGGTTTCTGTCCCTCTCTGCAGACTGGCTTCCTATTGACCCCTCATGGCTGCTGCATATGCCTGACTATGCATATGGCGCGGGCTCACCAGGGCTCGGCTCTGCAAACACATCTGACTCAGCTGTTCGGTGTCCCGCTACTAAAGTCTCAGGAGAGAAAGCTGATTGGCCCAGTTCAGTGTTGGGTCCAATCAGTTGGGTCAGAGAGAGGTGGGATCAAGAGGCACAAACATGGCAGCTTTGGCCATGACAACTACTGGTGGCACAGACAATTAACGGTATGCCTAGAACCCACAGCAGCACATAGGTAAACTTTGGAGTCTGTTCATTATAACTGTATTTTGGGTCATGTCATGGCATGTGGTCAGTATACATGGAGTATCCACCATGTATCGGCATGATATTTAACACTGAGGTTGCGAAGAAGAATTGAGACATGGTCCTTATCTTCATGCACTCACAGCGTAGTGGGGAGAACGTAGATGGGTGGGACACAGATTGATATGGGCGCTAATGGAGGGATGCAGAGTATTGTGGGAGGCACACAGGATGCCAATCCCAAAGCTCTAGAACATTCTGAAGCACCTTCCAGCTCTTCAAAGATTCAGTGGTTACAGCCGGATTTAGTCACTGTTGGTACTTTACTATATTCTGATTCCTTGACATTTGAACATCTGGATACATCACGTATAATCATTCTAAATTAATCAAGAGTATTCTGATGATGAACCACTTCAAGTACCCCTACCTCCACCATGCCAGAGAACAGAGCGCTTCCCAGATTCATCAGTAAGAACACAGTTCCACCCGCAATAGCATCAAAAAGGATCAAACGCTTAGGAATGAATTTAACAAAAGGAGTGCAAGACTTTTGCAAACTACAAAACATTACTGAAAGAAATCAGAGATCTGAATAAATGGAAAGACATTCCATGACCATGGATCAGAAGACTTAAAATTGTTAAGGTGTCAATCAGTACTCCCCAAATTAACCTTATAAATTCAACACAATCCCTGTCGAATTCCCAGCTGGCTTTTTGGGACAGAAATCTGGCAAGCTGATCGTAAAATTCATATGGAACTAAAAGGACCCAGAGTAGCCCAAAAATATCTTGAAAAAGAAGAGTAAAGTTGGAGGACTCACACTTCCTGATTTTAAAACTTAACTACAAAGCTACAAGTAACCAAGACAGTGTGGTCCTTGTACAGCAGAAACTAACACAACATTGTAAAGTAATTATACTCTAATAAAGATGTATTAAAAAAAAAGACAGTGTGGTCCTGGCATAAGGGTAGATATACAGATGAATAGAATAGAAATGAGAGTCTAAAAGTAAACCCATACATTTATGGTCAATTGATTTTTCACCAAAGTTCCAAAACAATTCAATGAGAAAAGATAAACTTTTATAAACTCAGCAAGCAGCCAAGCATTCATTGTCAATATGGTTGTAGATCACCACTGGGGAAGGAGAAGGAATGTTAAGTGAAGAATGAAGACATCAAGGCAAATGTCCTGCAGCGCCATGTGGATTTTGCAGAATTTCCCCATGCTCCTTCTATTCTGAATTTTGGAATGGAATCAAGAGGAAACCACATTGCAAAGAGGTCTTTACCATTTACAAAAAGGAGGGTCACTTTGGGTCTGAATAGAGACTTTCGTGGCCATGTTTTTTTTTTTTTTTTTTTTTTTTTTTTTTTTTGCGATAGACGGGCCTCTCACTGGTGTGGCCTCTCCCCGTTGCGGAGCACAGGCTCCGGACGTGCAGGCTCAGCGGCCATGGCTCATGGGCCCAGCTGCTCCGCGGCATGTGGGATCCTCCCAGAGCGGGGCACAAACCCGCGTCCCCTGCATCGGCAGGCGGACTGTCAACCACTGCGCCACCAGGGAAGCCCTTGGCCTTGTATTTTTGTGAGTTCACTGTGTTCTGGGCCCTGTAGTGTTCC